CAAAATAAACGTTGTCACTATGGCCGCCGAACTGTGTCCCTGTGTCTTTCGTAGCTTAGAAACTGTATAGTTAGGCCTGAGTCCGGTATCAGAAAACCAGTTTGATTGTTTAGCCTAAAACTGTATAGTTAGGACTGAATCTGGTATTGTTTGAGAAAGTGAAATATTTTGTACAAGTGGCTAATAAACCATTTATTCAGATCAGTACACGGACAGTTCATCATTTTTTTAATTGGACCAACGTAACAGTTTGGTGTCAAAAGTGGAAATTTTCAAATTTGTCTCCTTTTTTTTAAGTTTAAGAAAGGAGAAACTATTTGAAGTATTTCAACATGGCTAAGCTCAAAGAGCAAGCACCAAACGTGCAAGCTAAAGCAGTGAAAACTGCAGGAGTTGAAAAGGAAGATCTGTCAGCGTGGTTGAATAAATAAATGCTGCAAATAAACGAACAGACTGTATTATTTTTGTAGAGAAGCACATTACACTAGGAGACTTGTATATATAAGACACAACGATTTGTAAGCATAATGAAATAATTTATTTTTACTACCTATTTTGACAAAGCATTGAAGAAAACAGGCAAATGCTCTGTCGAAACATATAATATTGTTACGTCTCCGTTCGTTCGTTAATTAATTTTCCGTAAATTCGTTCCAACGAAACTTTTAGCGACACAAGTCCTTTCTTAAATAAAACTGGTTTATTCTTTCCGAATACAACTTTACGATACACTCAACTTCAACAGTCGCTCTATAACAAACGTTATAACAACGAACTTCAACAATACTTTCTGACTGCAGTTCAATTACTCACTACCTACACACACACATTGTTTTCGTCACTTTGTGACCATCTTATATATACCAGACTACCCTATATCTAGTAATCTCCCGACAATTCATGAAGGTTCGAGACGGACGTGGCGTGATACTAGTCACATGACCTCGCTGACGCAACAGTATAGATTTGGTGTATCTGTATTTTCAGAAACCATTTGACAAGGTGACAGATAAAAGGCTTGTAAAAATTATCTCTATAGGTGTGGAAGATAAGTTAACTAATTGGATAGAAGAGTGCTGGATGGAAAATTTTAAGCAGAGGGTTGTTATAAATGGAGTTCAGTCATACTGAGTTTATGTCACAAGTGGGGTACCCCAGGGCTAAGTCATAGGATCTTTGCTCATTTTGATTTACATCAGTGGCATAGATGAAGGAAGGGTCAATAAAGTACTTACGTTTGCAGATGATATTAAGGTCTTAGGTGTTGCTAGCTGTGAAGAGGATGTTGCTGATTTACAAATGGAGTTAGAGCATTTGGTGAGTTGGGCAAATAAATGGCAGCTGGGTTTTAATTATAATATTTGCAAGATGTTTGGGTTATCATATTTTGAATTATAACAGTATCATGAAAGAAAGGAATCTTGGTGTAATGGTTGATCAGTCCCTTAAGCCATCCAAGCAGTGTGCTGTTGCTAGTGGTAGGGGAAGTGGGATTTTATGTTGTATTTATAGTAATTTTGAAAACAAGTCTAAGGATGTTATAATTTCATTGTACATGTTAGTGTTGAGCCCACATTTGGAGTATTGTGTTCAGTCTTGAGCTCCTTACCTCACCTTACTGTAAATACGACATTAAACCCTATTTGCTCTACCACTAGCAACAGCTAATTGCTTGGATGGCTTAAGATACTTACTTATCAATTATTACAACAAGACCCCTTTCTTTCATGACACTGTTAAGGTTCTTCCCATCCAAATTTTACTTATAATTGAAATTATGATAAACCAAATGCATTATTCTGCATTTATTATAATTAAAACCACCCCGCTATTTACTTGATCAACTCACTAAATGATCTACATCTTTTTGTAAAGCAGCAGCATCTTCTTCACAGCTAGAAACACCCAAGATCTTAATATCATCAGCAAATTTATGTAATGTTTTGACGAATTTTTCATCTTTGTCATTGATGTAAATCAAAAAGAGCAAAGTTCCTAAGACTGAGCTCTGAAGCACCCCACTTGTGACATGAATCCAGTGTGACTGAACTCCATTCATAACAACCCTCTGCTTTTTTTTCCATCCAGCACTCTTCCATACAGTTAGCTAACTTATCTCCCACACCAATAGAGATATTTTTTAAAAGCCTTGTATGTGGCATCTTATCAAATGCTTTCTGAAAATCCAGATACACCAAATCTACACCTTACCCTCATCTAATTAAGCAGTAACCTTTTCGTATGTTTGTATTTTATCCTGTTTTAAGTCCTAATTATTGTAAACATATTCTGAAACATAAATATCCGAATATAATGAGAAGGGACAACTCGAATTTATCTGGAATAAGTTTGTTCATAAACAGCCAGATGTAAAATATATAGCTGTTTGTTAACTATAATATAGGTCTAAAAAGCTTCTATTATCGGCCATATGGTTATAGTTATCCAAGTTATTTTCCACTTAAAAGACACAAGTGCAGTATTAAGCCATACCTTTGAAAGAAATGAGTTTGATAAGTTTCATTTGTGTGTGGATCTCTATATTTAACTGCCTGATGACCTACGTAATGGCTGTAGTTCGGGGTGGAATGAAGAGAATCTGCTTTGTTTACTGGTCAAAATACTCAGCCTCGTTCTCGCGACGACCTTGACACACCATATAAGGAAAAACCGTGTTTTTGTGTACAATAGAAATGGTGTAATATTTTATACCCCTAGCGGGTAAACTCATTCTCTATACAAAGTGTATTTAAATTTCAGGCCTAAATGTCGATTTTCAGGTGCCTGTAGTGAGACAGTTATAAATGTACAATAGTTATGAAATAGTGAATTTTTAAAATCATGGTATCAATAAGTGTAAAAATATACTATCGTCATTTTTTGTAAATTTCCTATGTGTGTATATATGTGTCTAAGTTGCATTTGTATATCATCTGAAAGATTTAATTATTTTCTTTCGCGCAATGTGTTAGCTATAGAGCAGCGTTTCTCAAACTGGGGTCCTCTAGTCATGTCCGATATTTCATATAAATATTTTAAAAATGATTTGTAGAATAAAATTATTTTTCGTAAAATCAAATTTATATGAATTAAAACTATTATTTTAGAATGCCGATTTTTTATATAAACGCAATCCCTTTTTCAAAACAAAAAACATGTTAGATTTGGGGGTTCGCGAAAAATGTTTAAATTAAAAGGGTCCTCTCCTTACTAAAGTTTGAGAACCGCCTCTGAAGAATGAGTAAAGTTGTTGCAATTACTATTAGGGCTAATTGCCTACATTATATAGCAGGTAAACCTGAGATTATGTACGAGGGGTATTTAAAATTTAGGCCTAATTGACAATTTTTAGGCGCCTGTTGGAAATTGTATTGAGATGTAATGGTACTGCATTGTTTATAAGCTAGAAAGGTAAAGAATTAACTTAATGTGTTTCCTTGTGTGTTTGTTTATGTCACTGAAGTAATTGTCATTAATGTTATAAGCACTGTAGATTCCCACTGTCCCTATCTACTATCTAGCGAAACCACAGACAAAGGAACGGGCTTGGAGAAATCAGGTATTAAAAAATGACGGTCATAAGAATTAACATATTTTTATTTCATTTTACTGGTTCTGTTTGCGTATTACGTTTTCGTCACTATAATTACATTGTTTCCTCTACATGCTGTTATGTACCTTTATGTAATTTAGTTCCCCCTAACGTATTACGTTCTTGTCACTATAATTACACCACTTTCTCTACATATTATATTGTTTATGCATTTTATTTATTTATCCTCTAAAGTTACAGTACGTCTGAGCCTTGGCCTCACCTTGCTAGAAATTTCCATCGCTTGTATTGGTTCTGGCGCCGACACATCAAATACATCCACAAGATTTGAAGAAGCGTGTCCTGTCCCATCATACCATTCTACCAACTTATAGATGAGTCCAGTCTCTGAAACATAAACAAAAATTTGAATTTGAGAGCTAACTTAAAACACATCATTTTGCAAGTAAATGTCGCTCTTACGACAGCGGAAGTCGCGTGACGTAGGGAGCATGCGCGCTGGAGTTTCTCGAATGATCATGAATTTCTTAGTGCGTTCGAGACGCCCTCTTTTTTTAGTATATAAGCCTGGCAGATAAAGCCTGTGGGATGAATGAATAAAGAGAGTTCCGAGTAATTTACGATTCTGTTTCGAGTTAGTGTGTGTTTTTGAGATTGTGAATCGTTGTGATTTATATCGTATATTATAAAAGTAGTTAAGTTTAGAAACGTCCTGACTGTGGAAATTCTGTGTGTTACAAAGTTTGTATCGAGAAAGAGTAAACTAGTTTTAATCAAGAAGGGACTTGTATCGCTGAAGTTCCTCGGAAAGAAATTATACCGAAAATTAACAAACGAGCAGATATGTAACATCGCGAAAGAACGTGTCAAAAGATAATCGTGCCTGGAAAATATAACTACTTTGTATTTGGGTTATTAAGAACTTTATTCAAGCATTCAGCAACCACAACCAGGTGATCTAGGCCATATATAGCTTTCATTTGTGTCCAGTTGGGTGAACTAGGCTATAGATAGCTTTCATTTGTGACCAGTTGGGTGAAATAAGCTATAAATAGTTTTCACATGTGTCCACTTGTGTGAACTAGCCTATACATAGCTTTCACGTGTGTTCAGCTTTATTGTTGCAAAATACATTTCAGTTTACAATTTATTTTAGTAACACAATAATAATGATTTGAATATCAATTTTCATCTTCTTCTTCAGCTACTCATAAACTAACAAGTTGGAGTCTTTGTCAATTTTATTTATTTATTGTTTTGTGGCTGGAATATTGTCTTTTCGTCCAAAGCTACTGTTTAAGCATTTCTAGGTCAAACATGAATGGGGATGGGTCGTGCCCATTACACAGAATACGTATTTGCGTATGATTCAATATGCAAAATAATAAATAATAATAAATTTCCTCCTAGTGGCTCAACGATAAGCTTGAAGGCTCTTAACGTAAAAAAAATATAATCAGGGTTCGATAACCACAGTGGGCAACGCGCCGATAGGCCATTGTATAGTTTAATGCTTAAAAACAAGCAAACAATAAGATGTATATCTAAGAAAAATAATAACATATGGCCATCAAACTTTCTTTTGATAAAGGTAAATATAATTAAAGTATAAAATGGAAGAGCTTCGAAGAGCCCCTTCCCTTTAAACTCCAGACTGTTCCCTCTGGGTATATTCTATAAAAATATTAGTGGCACATTTC